TTAATTTTCTTAAATTTCATTAATCACTGATTTCAAACGAATTTGCAATAAAAAGGTGTTCAATACTTTTGTCATTTACGAAAAACACAAATTCATAAACTTTTCACATAATTTTATGACAAAAAAGCACTTTTTAGGTTGACAACATCAACGCAATTACAAATGAAATTGGTTGTAATTCATAATACCAAAAAAAAGTTGAGTTGTTTCAATTTCAACTCAACTGAGTTGAGTTGTAAACCATAATAGGGGCATTACTTTCAACGGGACAATGACCCCAGACGGCAGAAATAGCTCGCTTGTGGATTTTGTATAACCCTCCCCACATACTAAAGACTCCTCCACAACCTCCCGATCTCAACCCAATCGAACATTTATGCGACCATTTGGATCGACGTGTTCGGGAGCACCATATTACCTCAGAAAATATGCTCAAACAAAAACTACTGAAAGAATGGCTGAAAATTAGTTCAGATATGACTCAAAAATTGGTACATGCGTTGCAGAAACTTTTATAAAAATAACGGAAAACTTAATTCATACTAAAATAATATTTTCTGACTTGACTTTTGTCCATCTGCGTACATAATATGTACGTTAGACAAATATAGTTAGCACAATACCGGGAAGAACATAGGATTCGTTTTATGCGATTAATTCGTTTCGCAAAAAAGCGCATAATTCAAATTCGCACAAAACGATACACTAGCTCCATACAAAATCCATTAATTGGGTTTTAGATAAAAAAGCGCACATTTTCAAATTATTCCCTTAAAAGTCAAACAAAATCGCATATAAAAAATCAACAAAAATTTAATTCTTTACTGAAACCATAAGAAATAAAGGAAACAAACAACAAAATAATACCAATTCCAAATAATGAAGAAAATATGCAACATTTCTTAAAAATAAAACTTAATATTTCTTCATGTACAAAGGATTTGAACAATACTTTATATATCCGAACAGGAATTGGTAAAAAATCAGTAGTTGTACTTTGTTGAATACTTTTTTGGGTGTATGTGGACCAAAATTTACCTCAAAATCATTTTTGCGAAGAAAAATTTTAGAATTTTGAAACCGCACTAATTCAAATTCGCATAAAATAAATTCGCATAAAACGAGGTTTGAGTGTATTTAAATAAATACAAAACATATCGAATTTCGAGAAACAGAAAAAAATCATTTCGGTGAAATTATATGAGGTTTATAATGAAATAATTTCAATTAATAACATTAAATAATTATATGTAAAAATTTTAAAAACGTACAGTGTCGGACAAAACTAAAGCACAAACTTTTACCTGTTAGAAAAAAAGCTCAGAAAATTTCAAAAATAGGTAATTTTGTAATTTGAATTATTAGTTTAGATAGAATATTGTCTAGAAATTATAAAAAATAAGGTTATTCACAGTTGCTTTTTTATCGTGTTATACAGTAAAAAAGTTATATCAACAAAAACAAATAAAAACCCTTTAGGCCTAACTATAATGTGCATAAACTAGCTTAAGGTAATGTCAACATTAAAGGTCTCTCAAGTGCTTAAGAAAATTCGAAGAAACTTTTAGGTGGCTACAATGTACTTACATGCATTCAAAACAATTTAGCTCCATTTTCACATTTATATACCACAAGTAGAGTCCGACCGAACTCAAAATTTCGTTCGGTACCGAACACCGAACCCGAACTTCGGTAAATTTGAAAGTTCGACCGAAACCGAACTTTTTTTAAATGAAAAATAATACTTTTTTATCTGTAAGAGCACGCTGAGAAAAAACACGGTTGTGATAACCATGTTCTAAGAGCAACATATTATGATTAAAATTATGATTGTAGTCTAAACATATTATCGTTATTGTAACAATTTTAAAATATCATATGATTAAATACCCTCAAAAAATTTCATCATGATATTTTTGTATTTATCATAATATTGTTATACATAATATTATGATCCAATGTGATCAAAATTTCGTTTTAAATATGTATCGAAATCAAAATGAATTTTATCGAATCAGTAAAATTAGTTTTTAAAAAAATAAAAAATATATATACAATACTTAACACAATTCGCAAATTTCAATTTGCCAATTTATATGAAATTTTGGTTCATAAAAAAATTTAAGTATAATTTCATAAAAATACTAGTATCTTTAAGCCTGTTATGAACGTTAGTAATTTTCTAAAGCGAACATTATATGGAGGCCATGTCCAAATGTAAACCGATTTTGTCCATTTTGAATACCAATCAAACTGCAACAATAGTTTAGGTCCTATCGTCGTTTCAAGAGACTGACTGACAGACATGTCTAGATCGTTTGAGAATAAGAACCTAGAAAATTTCGATGTTACAAATGAAATCAAAGATTTATAATCGAAACTAGATAATTCAAATTAAATGTTTCACTTTTCTTAGCTTTTTAATCAGTTTCTGGTTAACAGTTTTTCAAATCAGCCGAAAAAACGAACGGTTAAAAAGGCGTTTTGTACCTATGTATGTATATCCGTTCCGTCAAAATTTTGCCGAACACCGAACATTGACCGAACCTCACTTTTTACCGACACTAGCCACAAGTAATAACAAAAATACACAATTCATAATATTTTATCGAAATAAATTAATTTCCTTTTAAATTTTATTTTTTTTCTTTATTTTCTTTGTGAATATAAACCAACAATTGATTCCGTACGGAATGTGCTTTCAGTATCGCTCTTTGCTTAAGCAAATAAAATTTGACGAAAATTGACGAAACTTTCTTAAGTACATTATAGTTTGTCACATACGTTTTATATGTATTCGCTCAGTTGCTTAAGGTGACTTCAGCTTGTGTAAGCATATTATAGTTAAGCCTTTACCCTTGGCATAGAAATGATTTGTTTTCAGGTTGTTTTCAGTGTTGGTAAACAAATTTTTTTAAACAAAAATACACAAAAAACAAATTTTTAAGCGAATGATGTTTCAAATATTCGAAACTAAATTCGAAAGTTCAAAGTAAAGCTCAAGAATCCAGAATCTATGTTCGAAAAATTTTGAAAGCGGTTAAAACCAGTTTCCGCTAAGCGAAATTGCAGAAATTTGTCAGTGATGAGTACCCCTGATGAAAATACAATATTATGTTCGAATATTCGAAATTAAGTTCGAAAATTCGAAGTAATGTTCGAAAAATTTGTTTTGCTTTTAAAATAATCTCTGGATCATAAAAACTATAAAAAAATTGAAATTTCGAACTTATGTTCGAAAGCTGTTAAATACAGTTCCCGTACACCGAAATAGCTAAAACTTGATAGTCAAAAATCTACTTGGTTACAATATAATGTATTCGAATATTCGAAATTACATGAGTTCGCAAATTCGAAGTAATGTTCGAAAAGTTTTTTATGATTTAAAAATAATCTCAGTGAGACAAATTCCTTAAAAAATCATATCCATTAGTCAATAATTTCGCAATTTATAAGCCATTGATAATCGTTTTCCTGTTGATCTCTCCATTTTAGAGACATAATCTCCACTGTACAGCTTTACATTGTGCAAGATATTTTCATACATAAAACAAAAAAAAACATCCCAAAACCACAATATTACCACCTCCGAGTATTTTATTTTATATTTACTATTGTATACCGATAATTACACTACTGACTTAGATTCTAACTTAAATTCCTTAAAATCATTTTAATTTAGCTTCGATTCATCAGAAAAATGTTCATTGTATAAAATTTCGGTCAAAGTGCCCCTCTGTCAAAACAATCCTAGCCAGTTTGCATTTTAAGCAAAATAAAAGGCGTTTTTACTTCGATAGTATTTGAATTGTCATTCACCTTGTTAATGCAATATAACCATTTTTAATATCCGAATTCGACACTGGTCCTCCCGTTTGATGGTTTCTTCGAGGTTCCCCACTACAGCCAATAATGCTGGTGATTGAAAGTCACTTATAATTTGCGAAATTATAGTGGGATAAATGTGATTTTTTTTACAAATTGATGTCAATGATTCACATTTATTAAAATAACCCACAATTATTTTCTTTTAATCAGAAAAAATAATTTTGAAGAACCATTTTAAATTTCAAAATGCAGGAAAATACACTGCGAATTATAAAAATTTCCTAAAATGTAATTTCGCTGCAATTTTAGGCTAATTTATGTAAAATGGCAAAAAACAATTTATTTTAATTTTAAACAACATTATTTTTTATTGTTTTTATAATTACTATATTCTTTCTAAATGCTGGTACTCTGTTTGAAGTCGTGAAAAATGTTTATCAACTTTTACAATTTCGTTTGAAAAAATTTAAATGTATCCGTGTTATCTACCTAGGGATTTAATAAAATTTGGCGTTTTCTATCGCTTATATAAGTAAACAAAACCAAATGTTTATGTTTTGTTTGACAAATTTAAATTGAAAAATAAATTAAAAAGAAAAATAATTTTTGTATTTTTTTTTTTGTAAAAAACTTTTTATGAATGATAATTGCATCTAAATTAAGAAATATCACGTAATATATAATGGATATTAGACATATGGTCTCCACTAACTAAAGACCTGTAAATAAACTTTTACTTAAAATTTCACGTGAACTAACTAGAGTCTATATTATTTCATACAAATGAAAAAATGTTGCTGAAATGTTGTTAGAAACATTTCACATGTTTTTCAAAAATACAGACAGAGTACTAATTCAGCAACATTTTTCCATAAAATTTTCATTACAATTTTTTTTGTATGAAGTTTTTAAAAATTTCACGTGAAATTTTGAACAGAATACCAAGCTTAAACTAATAATTTTTATTATAAAATATGAATTTTTCTAATTTTACTAAACTTGTTTCTAACAAGTAAAAGTTCGTGCTTTAGTTTTGTCCGACACTGTATATTTTTTCAATCGAAAAAATATATTTCTTATCCTTTTCTGCTCTTTGAGGTAGTTTTTGTAATTTTGAAATTTGAAAAAGTTATAAATGTTCTCTGGGATATTATTTGTATGAGTTTACTTACATATTAGTTCCGGTGGAATATCTTCAACAGGTGTCGGGTGTTTACGTTTTTGTGCTACTTTTTCATGTGCCTTCATAATATTGAATGTATCATCTAAAACCGCGGTTTTGATTTCTTCCGAATCATTCACTTTGGTTGTCTCTTTTTCCATTTGCTGTTGTAAGTCTTTTAGTTCCGAATGTATATCCTCTGTTTCACTCTTCACCGCGCCTGATATGTCGGTCTTTAACAAACACATTTTCTTTGCCAATTCTGGTGACTTTTTTATAAATTCTTTAATACTTTGTTGCATAAGACGTACATCCTCGGCTTTAATCCGATTTATACGTACCAAAAAACGAGATTTGTTGCAACCATGAGTTGACTTTATTGTTATTGTTGACTCCTTTGCAATTTGTTTTGCTGTCACCGCTGGTGATGGGAAACTACTTTTGGGGCTACAGTTTTCAGTAATATTTTTCTGTTGAATGGAGTTCGATAACTGCCTCTGCATATTTAAAACATTTTTAAAATCTGCTTGTACCGCAGTGCTCGTTAAATTAGGTTTATCTGGATTACTTAAATTATCTTCAATACCTTCATCTTGCTCGTTGGTACTCGATGTATTGTTATTTATTATTGATGAATTACATACTGATGTAATAATGCTCGTACTACAGTCTTGTATTTTTACAATTGTAGATGGATTTACTTTGGAATCATTTAATTGTTTATTATGCACATCATTTTCTTGTAAAGTCCTTAAATAAAAAGAATTTGCATATTTTAATGTAATGTAAAATTGTTGCTAACTAACCAGCTACTTATACCCTTGTGGAAATTGGCACACAAAAAAGTTAGTAGCATGTTAGTTTGAAGTTCGTAATTAGTTTTAGCAGATCAATGTTTTCTTATTTGTTGGAATTCATTACATACATTAACATTATTTTAACAACATCTGCGATGGGTAATATGTTTTCTGTTTATTTGTATTTTATTGTAATTTTATTTTTTTTTTATATCTAAAACAATTTAAAATAACATCAGCCCAGCCAAAAATAATACAAACAACATTTTAATCACATCTAAAAATGCGATTATATATTTTTTACTTTTAATCCAAGAATACCCAATAAATTAAAACCTAGTTAAAAATTAGGAAACATATGTATGCAGAAAAGTTACTGGTAAAAAACGATGATATTTAAATAAGCGTGTAATAGGAAGAATGTTATTTATATCAGATTTTTACTGCTTCTAAAAATAATATTAGATCTAGTTCAAAGTTGTCCAAAACAACATCCCCCTAATGTAGCCCAGAAAAAATTAATGATGTCATACTTTATAATCTACGTCTTAATCACATCTAAAAATGCGATTACATATTTTTCACTTTTATAAACCAAATATTTCCTTACAAATGAAAACCCAGTTAAAAGTGAGGAAAGAGATGTAGAAAAGTCACCTTTTTTTGCTGGGAGAGTTTATAAAAATTCGACTTTTGGAGAAACCGGTTTTTCGGTTAACAGAAAATTGGCCATTTCTAGAAAACCGGTTGAAACCGAACATGAAAAAACTGGTAAAAAGGTTAACCGAAATGTATGGACAGCTTACAATCCACTACGATTTTGTTAAAAAAGGACACACATTTTACGGCAGATTCTGAACAACTAGAATATTTTCACCCTGTAACAATTTAAAAAAAGCTTTCACACATAGAAAAGTTGATATGAATGTGAAACTAGAGTTTATTTAAAGCAATTCTGCATATTCCGATTTTATAATCAGCTCTTATGTCCTTTTAAAAGACTTACAAAATCAAACGGATATTTTAAATAATTATGTGTTGTATGATGCTAATATTGGTATAAAATGAAAGCTGGGAATCTGTACATTTATCTACATATATTATTTTTTGGACTCACTTAGAGCGGGTTTTTGAGTTGGCAATCAAATGCCAATTAATAATCAGATTAGTTAATCTAAAAATAAATTTAATATGATATTAATCCGCTTAGATGTTTTTGAGTACAACAATGCATGTTTTATAAAAAAAATAAGAAGATAATTGTAAATGTAATATGAAAATTAATGAAAACTTAAATTTAAAACAAAAAAACTATTTTTAAGTCTTCCTAATTTATATTAATCAATAAATCAAACATTTTAATGTTAGACAAAAACAAGTAAGAGTTCTATATTCGGCTGTGCCGAATCTTATATACCCTTCACCAGGATGTGTTAAAAAACAGTCAGTACGAATTTTATTACAAAAAATCAAAAAATACCAAATGTATCCCATTTTATACGTTCTAACTTAATCCGGGCTCTACATGCTTAATTTCATAATTCTAGGTTCAATATTATAGAAATTTCAAAAAGTACCTTTTGATGAACGAAAAAGTACCAAAAGCTTCCCTTTTGTGGGTTCCCACTTAATCCAGGCTCTACATAATGTTTCTAGGTTCAATATTATAGAAAATTCAAAAAGTTCCTTTTGTAGAACAAAAAACTGCCAAAAAGTCCCCTTTTATGTGTTATGGCCTAATCCGGGCTCTACATACTTAATTTCATGTTTCTAGGTTCAATAGTATAGAAAATTCAAAAAGTACCTTTTGTAGAACAAAAAAGTCCCTTTTTGTAAGTTCTTAGCTAGTCAAGGTCCTACATGCTAAATTTCATGTTTCTAGGTTCAATATTATAGAAAATTCAAAAAGTACCTTTTGTATAACGAAAAAGTACCAAAAAGTCACCTTTTATGTGTTCTGGCCTAATCCGGGCTCTACATACTTAATTTAATGTTTCTAGGTTAAATATAATGGAAAATTCAAAAAGTACCTTTTGTAGAACGAAAAAGTACCAAAAAGTCCCTTTTAATAGGTTCTTACCTAGTCAAGGTCTTACATACTTAATTTCATGTTTCTAGGTTCAATATTATAGAAAATTCAAAAAGTACCTTTTGTAGAACGAAAAAGTACCAAAAAGTCCCCTTTTATGTGTTCTGGCCTAATCCGGGCTCTACATACTTAATTTCATGTTTCTAGCCAATAACAACGTAACGTGATGTTCATTCTTTGCTTTGTGTTTACAAACAAGAATTACAATAACAAATAACAAAAAAAATTTACCGTTTGATACTGTGTTTTGTTTTTGTTTGTTTATTGTTTTGTATAAGCATGCACGAAAAAAGTAAATTTCTGATGAAATTTTCAGACGTGGTCCGGATTTTTACTCATATCTTCGTTATTTATGGGCCGATTTGGCTGATTTTAAATAGCGTTCTATTCGATCGTATTTCCGGTAGAATTATTGAAAATTCGGATCTCGCAGATATCTGGGGTCTTCTGAAAACTGATTTCAACATACACACAGACAGACGGACATGGCTCCGCTATTTATAAGGATCCAGAATATATATACTTTATAGGGTCGGAAAATTATATTATAGAAATTACAAACGGAATGACAAACTTATATATACCCTTCTCACGAAGGTGAAGGATATAAATATAGAAAGAAATTAAAAAGGGACGGTATTAGTACACTGTACTAAAACTATTAACTTAATCATAATCATTTAATCAGATAATGATTTACCCTCTTTCCCAGCATCTACATATAATGAGTAATACACTTTTAATTTTATGACTTATTTACCACTTATGGGACGCAAATTTACTTTGCTTTTACAATTTTTGTTATTTATAATGGCTGGGGAGCCATTTGTTTCACTTCAATAAGTAATTGTTACATTTGCATATAATTTTATTTTTAAGATTTTGATTTTATATTTTTAATATCACTCATATATACATATATGTATATATTTATAAATAGTATTATAAATTTTTTTCATATGTATGCTATTCAGGATTTGCCTCTGTAATATAGTTTAATTGGCCTATGGCTTTTATATTACTTTGTTTGAATAAATAAATAAATAAAAGATCTCATTTTAGAAACAAAAATTTTTAACTTCTTTTTTGTGACAAATTTTCTTTACGCTTCCATTTCTTATTTAATCCTGATGAATTGAAATATATATATATATTTATTTCAATTTCAATATTATAATATTATTTTGAAGCAGAGGTTTGATATTAATATTAAAATCCAATTTTTAATATAAATTCGGAATTCCGTCTTCTGAAATTGTATAAGGGTGCATAAAAGCTGATTATGAAAAACTGAATACACAGAGTTAATACTAATGGTCCACAGTTTCCTTACACATAGAATTTTTCATGTATGAAAATTACTGTTGACTTTCATATAAATGTTCATCTGCGATGGGTAGTCATCTTGACGTGATGCAGATGCTTAAGCGCGATGATCTGTAGAGCCATGCTGGAGGGAATGGCCATCACAAGTTGGCTATTCCTGGTAGGATCACCCATTCCAGACGAGTTTACATTGAGCGCGAAACTAAGAACTACCCTCCCCCTGTCTGGTAGCGTCTGTTTCCCTATGGGACGGCTATCAGACGCTTTCTACGGCTATTCTCTCCTTATTAAGAGGGGTGGTGGTGGAAAGCAAGTCCGGCTGGTTCTATGAACACTTGAATGTGTAACGTAAGTGCACTTGTCACAACGACAAAACCATGGAAGAGAAGAAAGAAGCAGGCCCCGCGTACCCGGTCAGGGGCTTCATAATCTCCGGGGACCCTACTTCCACAGCGACGGTAATGGGCTGTGGAAAGTCGAATGCGACTGTTACCCAGACTAGTCAGGCGGCCACACCGGGTCAGGCTAGTTTGCGTGTTACCGGCGTCGCAGGAGGCCAGTTTGGTACACCCAGGATGGCTGAATGTAATAAATTTAAAACTATTCGTAGTTGCTCATCAAGTGGCGAGGTACCTCAGGACTTCTCAGCAAGTACCTCTAAAGCTGCTGCAACCCAAACCGCTAAGGCGGTTAAAAACCCTGCTTCGGGTACTGATGATAAGGGGTCGGCTAAGTCGTCTCTTACACCAGCTTCCCAAGTGCCAATTGTACCTCCAGGCTCAGTGACGGTATCCTCCTGTCCTGGGGATGTACCACCCCCTGCCAAGTCCGGCAATCAACAATCGACTCGGCAAAAAAAACCCTCCAAGCGGGCGGCAACTACAAGGCGTTCCGCCTTTAGGATTATTAAGCTACTCGGGTCCAAACCACCCGGGGAACTCATTACGGAGCAATCAGCTTCCCTCCAATGGGCCAAGGCCCAGATCACTGGCAACGACAATGCTTCTCTCCTCCCGCCGAAGTGAAAACGGAAGCGGCGCCTAAATGGCAACGTTCAGAGGAGGAAGCAGCTTCTGCAAGCCAGCAGTAAGGGACGAAATGTCCAAAACAGGTGCAGAAGTCAATGACGCGCTCCTTCAGTGAGGTTGCCAAAGACAGCCTTGTTCGAGCCGTCATTGACCGAAGCGACGTTGACGGATCCATATCCCAGTCTAACTGGGATGTGGTGAAGCAAAAACTCATGGGAGTGTTCTGGCACGTTGGATGGTTCCAGGGTCACGTTAAATTAATTACATGTGCAGACGAACGCTCAGCGTTGCTGCTCAAGTCTGCCATTTCACTATTGGGTGAGGTATGGGATGGATCTAAGCTTGATGTGGTGACTCCTGAGGAGATTCCACGTAGGCCTCCGTCCATCGCCAAAATACCGTCTGAACCCTCCATTCCCGAAGATATCTTGGAGATCCTAAAGTGCTGTAACCCTCAGCTTCCAACAAATGATTGGAAAGTTGTAAGGGTTTCAGAGGCTGATGGACCTT